CTAGCTTGTTTTCTATCCCTGGTGAAGGAACCTACCGTGCCTCCCAATCTGTTACAGAAATTTTAGACAAATAGATACTTTAGAAGAGCTGAGGACTCTTAAATAATTAAAGGCTATGTCTTGGTCCAGACAAATACCAGCCAGTCCTCCCCAGCCCGCTTTGTTAATGGTTCAAATCCATTATGGAATATGCATTTTTGAGGGCATATGGATTAGAGAAGGTTGGGAAAGATACTGGAACCCTGGGACCTAAGTCTTTGTGAATGCTTGCAAAGAGGCATGGTCTTTTCCTAACATGCATCTTGAGATGAAGAAACTGCAATCCCCAGAGGCTTGGTTTTCTCTCTTCTCTGGAGACCCTATGGAGCCATGGCTGTGCAGGAAGGAAACCTGGGGGCTGTAATTGGACCACACAAGGAAATTAAATCTTGTAGGCTGAGAGGACAGATTGTATTGGGACAGGTAATACATGATTTCTCCTTCTGAAAGGTCAGTGTGAGAGCCAGAATTCCCTCGGAATAACAGATGAGTTAGCCATTATCAAAGCTTGGCACATTCCCCTTCCTGCCCACCACTTCTCTTACCCTTTCATCTCCATCCATTCCTTCCACAACATCTTTCAAGAGCCTATTATGTGATAGAAGCGCTGTCTTGAGATAGATGATACAAAGATAAAGATGAAAGCAAGTGTTCTCTGCCTTCAGGGAGCTTCCAGTTTGTAGGGGACCCAGTGTGCAAACCATATAGGGAGACAAGTGCTACGGTACAAGTGTGGGTGAATCCAGAAGGATTCAGTAGGTGTTTTGACTCAAAGGAGGAAATGCTTACTTCCGTTTGGAGAAGAAGAGTAGGGAACGTTTTCAGAGGGGAGGAAACTCTTAGAGTGGTGCCTGTAGGAGGAAGGCTATGTTCTTCCCGCTCTCATGTGAGATCAGGAGAAGGCAATAAAATTCTGCCCACACTGCCCAGCCGTCAAACCGTTATTCAAGGCTCTCCCCATCTGCTTGCCTCCTGGCTATTTCAATGCTCTTTAGTGCTGCCATCTAAGGGATAAATGGAAGTGGAATTTCTTTATGTTGCTTTTGCTGAGAAGTTAGGGAAAACAAACTGGTGGAGGAAAGATTTAAAAAATAGAACATTAAATTTTTATTAAGCCAGAATTGCCTTGTTTAATTGATTGTTACTAAGCTAAAATTATTTTCTAATTTTTATGCTGGTGAAATATTACAGTTATGCAAATATTAATAAATCAAAAGTGAAAACCCCTTCACCCCACCTCACCCGTTCCCCAGGGGCAGCACTGTTAGTTTGATGAGTATATTTCTGGATTTTTAATTTATGCTTAAATCCACAACTATGATATTTTAAAACAAAAATGAGATTGTGCCATTCACATTGTTATACATAGCATCTGCAGCCTGCTTCTCTCTCCTTCCCCTCTCCTGACTCACATGAACAGTCTTAGAACAATTTTCAAAGAAAATGTCATTACATGACACCGAGAAGGTTGCTGTAGTAATATATGGATATTGCTTTGAGTCAATAGAAAAATCAATTTGGCAAAAACTCACCTCCTGCGAGAAGCCCTCTCTGATCAACTCTACTCTAATTTCTTTTTTTCAATCCTTTTTTCTGAATCATCCAGTAGCCTTACATCTTGTTTTTGTATAATATTTGGCCTCTGCTCATAAACATATTCCTTTCTTGTACTCAAGCCCTTTTGGTTGCCAAGACTGAAGCGCCCGTTTTGTAAGCCCTTTGGTTGCCTCTCCCTGTTGATCTTTTGCAGTCTTCTTGCTCTCTGTGTTGGCTTCTTTACTCATTCTTCCGTTCCCTCACCACTTGGCTTCCATTTGTTTCTTGGTTCATTCAGCAAATAAGTACCTAGTGTCACAACATGCCAGGGGGAGTTCTAGCACATACAGTTTGGGTCATTTTAATCCTGACTCCAAATCATGGCCTTCTTTAATTCCACTTACCAAGTTCTTCCACGTTTCTTGGTTCAAATTTCTAGGCTGGATGACGTGGCCCAGTTTACGGAGGGACATTCTGCGGCCCAGGGCCTATTCAACAAGATGTGGCTGGAGAGAGGCGTGGAGGACAGTGCTGGGAGAGCCCTTCACAGCCCTGACATGCCCAGCTCACTCCATCAATGTTCTCAGGTCTTACCTGTGTATTGGTGACATATACCTAACCAGAATGTAAGTCAGGAAGGACTGTATTTCTGCCATGATCTGTTCACAGAAAGTGTTTATAAACAATGTGAACACAGGTGCTCTTTCCTTTACGTCGAGGTGGGCTTGTTGTGCGTAGCGGGTGAGCATCACAACCTCCCTCCTGTTCAGAGAAAGCACAGCTAGTTATCAGAGCTTTCTGTGCCGTAGAGAACTGCAGGTCACATCACATGAATGCTGTCTTTGAAGGTAAAGGCAAAGAGAGATTAGGAACTGGAGGAAAATTATATGTGAGAAATATAAAGCAAGTGCCATTTTTAAATTCCCATACATGGAAATAAAAATTGAGTATTTAAAATGGAATTAAAGATCTGGGCCAGACCTTTGCTTGGAGCCAGGCAATTTTATTCAACAACTGTCTTCAAATGCCCAGGTCACAATTCCTATTAATACACAGAATTTGTAGAAGAAATTATAACACAACATAGCACTGATGACTCAAGACAGACGGCTAGGAGGTTAGAGTCTAATTTGTATCCAGTCTCTCTTAAATAGAAAGTTTTGTCAGGGATGATGCAGAGAATCAATGACAATTGTATGATATTAGAAACAGTTGGTGACAGAACTACTGCTTGGATGGCTTTTCTACCTTGTCCTTTCCTGTTCTTGGTACCAGTCTTCCAGGTCTCTTCGTTCATTTGAGAGGATGTCTGCTAAACATCAGCAGATTGGAAATTCAAGTTCAAATGAAATAGATAGTTTGAGGAACCAGCTGACTAATTGTGTTGCAGTGGGAGGGCAGGAGGCTGTAATCCTCAGACCCGCCACCAGAATCCTAGGTGTACTGGGGAGCCAGGCAGCGCAGGGCCCCTTCTGCAAAGGGCCTGCCTGGGGAGAGAGGAACCCAGAGAAATACTGGCATGTCAGGCTGCCAGCAGGCACAGGGGAAGCCATCTAAAGAAGCAAGTGTGTGGAAGGGATCAGGATCAGTGCTCCCCTCATGGTTCTTGCTTCATTGGTTGCAGCAAAGTCTCTCCCTCCTGCCCAGGTTGCTCTGTGGCTTCCCCCCCTGGCTTCCCCACCTCCAGGTTAACGCTGCTCCCGTCCTTCCTCCACACCAGCACTCACTACCCTTTCCAAATGATCAAGTTAAGTGGCTCTTCTGTCCAGAAAACATTGCTTTTTCACTGACTGCCACACACACACACACACACACACACACACACACACACAGCCCACCCCACCCCACCCCATCCCACACCCAAATCCTTCAAGGAATGTTTACATTCTGACCCCAGCCAATTCTAATATCACCTGTCCCTACTTCCTGCCATGTGACACCAGATTCTTATAACCACTCCAGCCTCCTGGCTTCTTTTTTTGTGTCTGGAATGTTACCGACACCCCAAAACCTGCCATCTGTCTTCCTCATCCTTATGTCTCCCTTCGCTTCCCACAGCCCAAAGAGGAAGTTCTCCTCTGTGTTACCATAGCACTTAGGTTGTACTTCTGACCTCAGTGATTTTGATTGTTCACAGGTTTGTTTTCTCTATTGGACTTTGAGCATTTTTAGGGCAGAAATCTTTTGTCCATTCACCTTCACACCCCAGCACCTAGCAAAGGCAAAGTGCTCATTGCAGGTGCTCAGAAGTAGTGTTTGAAGGGAAGATAATCATGGACACGGTTGTTGTCTTTTAAATATTTGATATGCTTTTGGACTAGATATAAACAGCTCTTAATATGTCAATCCTGATAATAAGTTTCCAACACATGTTGGTTTCCTCACCAGCAAAATAAAAATGTTGGGCACCTGGGTGGCTCAGTTGGTTAAGCGACTGCCTTCGGCTCAGGTCATGATCCTGGAGTCCTGGGATCGAGTCCCGCATCGGGATCCCAGGACCCCGGGATCATGACCTGAGCCGAAGGCAGACACTTAACGACTGAGCCACCCAGGCGCCCTCGTTGCAATTTTCTTAAAATCAAAACGTGTTTAAAATAAAAATGTTGGGCACCTGGGTGGCTCAGTTGGTTAAGCGACTGCCTTCGGCTCAGGTCATGATCCTCGAGTCCCGGCATCGAGTCCCACATCGGGCTCCCTGCTCAGCAGGGAGTCTGCTTCTCCCTCTGACCCTCTTCCCTCTCGTGTGCTCTCTCTCTCATTCTCTCTCTCTCAAATAAATAAATAAAATCTTTAAAAAAAAATAAAAAAATAAAAATGTTAATCTGGGTTACATAACAATGTGCAAGAAAAATAGTTCAAGTACCAGGAAGCAATCTGGTTAGGAGGTTGGCAGTGTGAATCCAAACTCCCTTTTCAAGAACTTTGAAGAAAAACAAGGGATAGTCTTCCATGATGAAGACCCAGGTTTTGGGTATCTCTTTTTGCCTGGATTTGCTTAGATATAGAAATCGGGGATTGGATTACAGCTCTTCTCCTTTAACTCTAAAATTATATAATTCCAATGGTTCTACTGAACAAATGTTAAATATTACATAATTTTTTTGTGTGCTCCAATTGGCAATTCAAGCTACACTGAAAGACCTGCTTTTTACCAGTGCTGCAAAGCATATTCAGAAATTCATTTGACTTTGAATAATGGACGTGCAAACACATTAAGTGATCATTTCCACAGCTGTTCTGGTTCTTTAAGAGGCCTCGCTTGTTGAGTTGGAAGATCATTGAACCCTATGAGGGTCAATAAAAGAATAAAAAGTCACTGGTTAGTGATTTCAGGACAAGGAACTTGATCCTAGCTCAGTATTGGTGTCCATATGCTGTTCACAACCAAAGGGGGAGTGTTGATCAGCAGCTTGCCCTTCCTCAGGATGGCTTCTGGAAGACTAATCAAACTCCTGGTTTTTGAACTTCTTGAGTTTGCTGCTTTCTCCATTCCCACACTTGTGATTGTGGAACAGTTTGCCACCGCCTATCAAAGCAGAGCAGGCAGCCCTGAGAAAACACATTACTGGCTGATTGTTTCCTGTTCGATCGCCTATGTGGCTTCAGTAACTCTACTGATTTGGGTTCCCATAAAAGCTATCTTATACAAGAAGCATGACCTTTACAAAAAAATTAAAGGATGGTAAGTAAAAGGGTTCTAAAGCAGGGGAGCTCTGTGATGCTTTCAAAGATACTTTCTCAGGTACTACGGGTAAGGATGTCAGCATAGCACAAATGTACATAATGTATGCACATTATGATTAGTGAGAAGTAATTAGCACCATTTCTATAAATGTGTTGATATTATGGTATCTTCCTTTAAAAAAAAAAATAGGGGCATTTTCCCTGACTGATAGCAACACATTACATGTGTTCATAAGCTTGCAGTTAACATGAGTCTATGATATCCTGAGTACTAAATATTGGACCTAATTCCTCTGTACACTGAACTGCATAAAGTTATCACAGTTAATTTATAGAAATCATAATTGTAAGATTATAACATAGAATTTTACTTTTTTGTGAAACAAAGTAATGTCTATTCTGAAATGTTTATATTGCATTGTTTTGCAGGTCTAAAGCATCCTTTGACCCTTAACCAACTGAGATTTTTAAGCAACTGGTCTCTTTACTTAAATTTAAAAAAATAATACTTTACTATGTTAGTAAATTCTTTTTCCCTGGTGTGTGTGGGGGGGGGGCAGGAACTGCTTCAGTAATAATATAGAAATATTTTAAATAAATTAAGATTTAATGTTGGTTCAGCAGTAATTTGATGACCATATCACCTATATGGATTAAGTACAAATAATCTCTGGTACTAATACATTTTTCCTGTTAGAGCTTCAGATCTGATTTTTACTCATCTGAGATTTCTTTGTTTTCTTTGCTTCATTAAACCTTCTTTCATACTGATCTTTATTTATTTATTTTAAAGATTTTATATATTCATATGACAGAGAGAGGGAGAGCACAACACAGGGAGGGGCAAAGGGAGAGGAAGAAGCAGGCTCCTGCTGAGCAGGGAGCCTGATTTAGGTCTCCATCCCAAGACCCTGGGATCATGACCTGAGCCAAAGGCAGACGCTTAACCGACTGAGCCACCCAGGCATCCCTCATACTGATCTTTTATTTTAAAGTCAAAAAACATCAACACATTTGAAAAGCAAGCAGCTGGGAATTTTAACAAGGGCAGAAATGTAAAAATTATAGAGACGGCAGTCTAGTTGTATCGGGAGGGTACGAAAGGGGAGAACTGAAGTGTGGAGTTCACAGGTGTTCTCTGGGTGCCAATTCTAGATGTGGCTTCACGAACCTTGCCAGGGGACTTTCAATTCCCTGAGGGCAAATATACTGAAAGGTTTCTGGAAATAAACCATTTGGTTGACACTGCATTTATGAATGGGGTTTAGGGATTTTCCAAACCTTGACCCAAAGTCTCAGGATTACCTATGGAGCAGGTTTGGAGCTGAGCTGGGCCCTTCACTCCTCACACCACCTAGGAGTTACTTTGGTGGTTCAGGACTCCTGGCTGGGCTGGGAGTTTTGAGGGAAGGATGGAATATCCAAATAACTGTAGAAACCATTGGTTTACTCCAGCCCAGAAAGGCACTCCTTGATATATATATATATATATTTTTTTTTTACATTGACTCAAATCCCTGAGACTCTAGGTTCTGAATATCATTCAGGCAACTTCCATATGAGTTATCATCATCATCATTAAGTTATAACTGCTTCTTTACCGATCATGTATGTCCTGAGAGATTTACATGTGAATTTCATTTCCTTCTATACTATCTTGTAAAGTAGGTATTTTCCTGAGTTCATCATTATTATTCCCAAGAGGAAATTTATGATTAGAGAGGTAATGCAACTTCCCTGGTCATTTAACTAGTGAGTGGGAGGACCAGACTTTGGACCTCCGTCCATCTGACTCCATAATCAGTACTTCTAACCACTCTCCTAATCTGTGTCTTTGAATGACAAGATCCCAATCTGCTGGGGTAAATTGAGGGTAAGGAAGAGAGTAGTCTTTCATTTCTATTCCCCAGTACACATTTTGTTTTACAAATCTGGTCCACATCTTCCCCTTGTGCTAATGAGTCTTGGGCTGTGTCACAGTTGTATGTTCCAGTGAATTCTTTGGGGAAATACTCTTCTGGTCTTTCATTTTCTTTGTAGGTGTGACTGGCCACAGGTGTTCTAAATAATATACGATAGGTTATTTAGTTTTAGTGCAACTGTGAAACTGTTTCCTCATGGCCTCCTTCATGAGCACTGTCATATTGCTATCTCTTACTGGCATGGAAGAGAAGAGTTACTTACCTAGCACTATTCTTGAAACTTTACGCATTCTGTACTATTAAAATTAAGCTTTATGACAGCCTGGCAAGCTATGTGCTAGTGTTCTCATTTTAGAGATAAAGAAATAGAAACTCTTACAAGAGATCAACTTTGTCAGGTAATAAATTCATAAGTGGTGGAGCTGGGATTTTAAGCCCAGATTGGTCTAAATCTGTGCTCTTTCCTTTATCTTGTGTAACTTTTCCTTTATTTTTTTTCTGTCTTTGAATGCCAAGTGTATTTCAAGATCAACACAACTCTTTTGGTGTCATTAAGATATATTCCCTCCAAAGATGTATATTTGGATATTCTATATGATTCTCCACATTGTGTATATGGATATTTTAATATATGTGGTAAGGCAGAGTGTTTATCTTAATTGCTAGATGAAGATGATGCAAAAACAATTGGTATTATGGAAGGTAGGGATTGAAATAATGATTATTAAAGAATGCTTAAATAGTTGTTTACACAAAATCTTAAAGATCCTTAGCATTCACAGATAGATTGTTTTGAGCCTATTTGAAGACATCCCTGTAAGTTCATGATAGCATTATTAGCCCCATGAAGCTGGTATTCAGGAGAGAATGAGTCATACAGCTAGTAAAGAGTGTGCCCTGGCCATACAGCTGAGAGGTACAGACCTTAGTTCAAATCTCAGCTTTGACATTGACTGTGAATATTTGTGTGTTATTTAAGTTCTTTGAATCTTAATTTTCTCATGAGTGTAACAGGGACAACCATATCTTTTTCATTTGAGTGCTATTTTAAGAAACTGAATAAAATTATGCACATAAAGTTCTAAGCGTAATGCCTGGCACATAGTATGGATTCAGTGAATATTATTGTTATTACCTCAGGCTGAATTTAGTATTTCCATTTAAAACATGATCTTGTTTAGGGCCGCCAGGGTGGCTTGGGTAAGTGTCCAACCCTTGATTTCGGCTCAGATCGTGATCTCAGTGTTGTGAGACTGAGCCCTGTGTGGAGCCTGCATATGATTCTCTGAGCTCAGCGTGGAGCCTGCTTAAGATTCTCTCTCTCTCTCCTTCTGCCCCTCCCCACCCTGTGCACTCTCTCTAATTAAAAAAAAAACCAAATAAATAAATAAATAAAACATGATCCTGTTTAATCCTCAGAATGACTCTGAGAAGTGATGATGAAGAAAATTATATGCTATAAGTGATATTCTTTGAATTTGGAAAATCTTGTGGGTCTCTTTTATCCTTTGAGAAAAATGAAGGCCAATATAGTGATATCATGAATATCTCATAAAGTATTTGGCACTTATACAGTGCTTCTATGTTTTATTTTTTCACTTGACCTGCACACCAGTGTTGTGAAGTTGACCAAGTGGATATAATTCCTGTTTTGTAAGGGAGGAAACAATGCCAGAGATCTTAAGACATGCACACTAAATCAACAGTAGAGTCTGAACTTTAATCCAGTGCTCTTTCCTTTACTCTTGTGAAACACTTCCTCATTCTCTTTAGAACGATTGTTCCTTTTTAGAGATGCCTGTCATAATTCATAATAGACTAGGGAGATGGTTTGAGGAATGAGGAAAAGCTATTTATATACACACCAAATTGTATATCCCAGTAAATAAGAGAAATCCTTTCCTGGGATATCAGTGAATGGGTGAAACCATTGAGCCGCAAAGCTAGTCTGCAACTGGAGCCTATCTCAATGAAGAGAGTACCTGGGGATAGGATAATAATGGAGGATTTGTGGGGATTCCCAGAATGCCTTGGGACCCAGGGCTGCATTTCAGGAATTCTCTCATCTTTCAGAGTACAATTACCTTAGATCATGACATTTCATGAATTCCAGGCAGTGCCATGTTTGAAACATGCCAACATTTTGGACTGCATTTTACTTGCTTAAGTCCTTAGCCTATTAGACATGATTTGCTGTTGATTTGTTTAAGATAGTGGTAGTAATAGTAGTTGTAGTCGTAGTAAAATAAGAGAAGTACTTATTGAAAGCTGTTCAATAGTAGCACTATGTACAAAACATCGTGGTAAACACATTGCCTATATTATTTTAGTTAATTCTCTGACCTTTATTTATTTATTTTTTTAAAGATTTATTTATTTGACAGAGAGAGACACAGCGAGAGAGGGAACACAAGCAGGGGGAGTGGGAGAGGGAGAAGCAGGCTTCCCACCGAACAGGGAGCCCGATGGGGGGGCTCGATCCCAGGACCCTGGGACCATGACCTGAGCTGAAGGCAGACGCTTAATGACTGAGCCACCCAGGTGCCCCAATTCTCTGACCTTTATATGTAAGAACACTTACAGTGTTCATCTTACAAATGAGGAAATTGGGGCACAGAAATTACAAGACCACACAGCCAGTGTGCTATGGATCTGTCACTGACGACGGGGTGGTCTGTCTCCAGAGCCTGGTCTCTTGAGCATCTTACTATTCCACAGAGGCACACACAAGACTTCATGTGCACAGTGGTAATAATGCCTGGGCACTGCTGGACAGGCTGGATAAACTGAAGGAAGGTAGAGCTTGCTCTTTTCAGACCTGGGAAGGTCATCATTAAGTTACCATGAACTAAAACACTGGTGCTTAAGTTACTTCTTCCCAGAGCACTCCTCTTTCTTTCAGTGGATCTGTCCATCTTCATTTGCAAGAATTTTGTGATACTTGACTATAGGCTTTTTCTTCCTTGTCCAGTAAATCAGGAATAGTCATCACTCTTGCATCACCTCTTTGTTCTCCATGACTGTTAACCTCACCCCGGTTAGGCACTAATTTCCAGGGCCATTATACATGGACATG